TCTGAAAGGAGACCCGGGTTTTCTGAAGGCTGTTCCTGTTCCCCAGCCTCTGTCTCCGTCAGAATCTCTCCACCAACCATGTTTCTCAGATGCACTGGTGAGGGCCACACACCGGAAGTCCTGGGCACACAGCCACAGGTGAGGGACAAGTTCAGCCTCAGCATTCTAGCTATACTGTAGGGTTGTATCCACACAGACAGGAGTCTTTCCAGAAGAAAACAGTCACGTGGGCTTCCAAGGTCCAGTCCTCCCGGAATTTCCTCACCTTGGGACAACCATGGTGCTCACTGCTCTGATTTGCTTTGATCCACGAGGTGACTCATGCACCACCCTGGGACTTCTGAGAACTCCCCATTGCTTTGGAGTCTTAGGTCTAAATGGAATCACCCATCTTCAGCACTATTGGGGGTGGATAGCACTTGGCCATGGGGTCTGTCTTGTGTGTGGATAGGCAGCATCTCCAGGCTCCACTTACTAGATGCCAGTAGGTCCTCTCTCCTTTGTACATTAGGACAAGAACGGTCTCTAGGCATAGTCAAATGTCCCCTGGGAAACCAAGGTGCCTGGAATGAAGAACCATGGGAATCCTGTGCCTGCTGATCTGCGGGACAAGACTCAGTTCTTCTGTTGATCAGTCCCACCCACCAGGCAATGTCCCCAAACCCACTGGAGGCTGGGCTCCTATGTCCTCTCTGCAAGCCTCTGCACAGAACCACTGGTGATGTCAGAACAATACTCGGAACTGCAAAAGCAGTGATACTCTGGCCCAACGCTTTGACATCTCAACACAGTGACGCCATCTGCAATTTTCATCCCCAAACAGGGTAACTGTGTTACAAAAGACAAAAACTCATAATACTTCAAGTGTCTGATTTTGTGTTGGATGGAATACAGAGCAATGCTTATCCATATGTGGCTGCACACAGCCTGCGAGTCTAGAAAACGGAGACAGAATCCAGGAGGCAGACACAGTGACTCAGGCTATTCTGCCCGACAGAGGGTGTGTAGACCCAGGGCTCTGAAGTGCCCTGTGGCCTAAGCATGCACACTCGCTGCGCACTGAGCACACATGGGATGTAACCCACGGAAAAGCAGGTCTGAACCCTTTTCAGGCAGAAGTTGGCTGGAAGAAGAGGCAGAGGCCATGCCTTCTCAATGCTGTGGCTTAGGCGGGTGCCGTGCCAGGTTGTCCTGGGCAGAGTGCACCTGTGCAGTCTACCCCCACGGTCTGAGCCCTGATTCTCCTCTCTGATGCCTATCTTGACTACGTGTGTACATGTGCACATATGTACTTGTTCATGCAGTTGCTTGTAGAAGCCAGAGGTTGACATCACGTTCCTCCTCAACCACTTATCCACACCGGCTTTAAAAAACAAGACCACAAAACAGGGCCTCTCACTGCACCTGAGCTCACCTTTTTGGTTAGGATAGCTGGCCAGTGAGCCTCATGGATCTGCCTATGTCCACGCTCCAGTGCTGGGATTAGGGGCAGGCGCCACCATGCCTACACCTTTTATTTTAAACGTGGACTCTGGGAATCTGGACTCGAGTCCTTATGCTTTACCCACTGAGCAATCTCCCAGCTCTCTGGTTTTATTTCCTATTAAAAAACCACAGGTGGCATCCACAGTGAGCCAGGACAAACGATGCAGGCTTACAACATGCGTAGCTCCAATCTGTCCTGACTGATGACAGGTTTTGTCACCCTGGAAATAACGTGCATCGCCATTAGCCCCGTGGTCTGTGTGGTCCCCTCCCTCCCCCATGGCACTTCTGACCCGAGCCCCGATACCAGGAGGTGGCATGGGGAGTACTCGGGGCTGATGACGTCACTCCCCTGGGCTTCTTAGACAGGTCCCACCTCTGTCTGCACCTCTGGGCTCTCAGTGCCGACTCAGTGTCCCCTCTTCACACCTGGCACTGAGTGGTCACTGGGGATGGAAGGGAGGGCGGCTTGGTATAGGTACACAGGTGCCATTCAGTCTCTGGCTGCTCCTCCCTGGCCCCAACTTGGGAAGTAGGTACGCTGTCGGTAGGACAGGCAGCAGAAGGATGAGCCTTCTCACTACCCATTGACCCTAAAGGGAGGCCATGCGCCTCCTGCAAGAGAGGCCCAGTGCTCCAAGAGCATGCAGGCAGCCGGATGGCTCTGGCTCCCAGACAGATCGGGCTGGCTCATGTCCAAACCAGGACAAGATGCTGTCCCTGCTGCCCCTCTGGCTGTGTGGCACTGGCCCTTCTCCCTGGAACCCTAGGAACTCATGCAAGGAAGGACAGTGCTCATGCTGAGCAGGGTAGGGAAAGGACTCATTAGTCTCTTTAACTGGCTTTCACGGACCACAGAACATTCCAGCAAATGCAGTACTTCCTCTCCAAGGGCCAGCTACACAAAAGACCAGGTCTTTCCTGTCAAATGAAGGAGGTTCTGAAGCCCACCTTACTCAGGGAGAAGCTATTGGGGTTCTGGCTAGGATCCCAAAGAAGGTAACATTCCCTGCTCTGGAGAGACTGTACTCCAGCTTAGGTCTACTTGTCACACAGGTGAGGTCCACACTCTGACCTCAGCGCTGCCCACTGGAACCCTCCTAATGTGCAGCTTCTTAGGCCTTACATACCTTGTTGGGGACCCTTTTTACATGCACCCAAGAAATCCTACTTTGGGAGCCCTCCTTGGAGACTGACATGGAGACTTAAGGTCAGTCTTAAATGGGATGGGGAAGGACCACACCTCTCGAGTCTAGGCAAAGCCGAGGCGGCCTCATTCTGACAGTCTAAGATCCAGGGATGGTGCAGAGTGTGACATCTTGGGAAACATCTGAAGATTCAAGTCCATTCAAATGTACCTCAGTGAGGCCATCAGCCTCAGAGGGCAGGACAGTGCCACAGAGAGTGTCAGCTGCAGAGCCTAGCTTCCCAGGTTCTAATCACAGATCCCCACTTCCATGCTGTGTGGCCTCAGGAAAGTTACTCCATTGCTCTGAGCCTCTGGCTTCCTTTCTGGACACTCAGGCACTGCTGCTGCTGTTGCTGTGTGTGTGTGTGTGTGTGTGTGTGTGTGTGTGTGTGTGTGAGAGAGAGAGAGAGAGAGAGAGAGAGAGAGAGAGAGAGAGAGAGAGAAGGCTGTGCACGGAAATCTAGCACGGTGCCTGCTCACACATAGTACTCCAGCACCAAGCTCAGGACCGTTTGTCCCTTCCCTGGCAACTGAGACAGAATGAAGCAGAGACTGGGGTGGGGGGAGTGGGGGCGGAGGGGTGGGGGGTGAGGCTCACTCTGGCTACTCTGGTTGGAACCTGTCATTTACTCCTCACTGTTATCTATGGTGAGGGAGTTCAGGCAGGAGACAGAAGGAGAGAATGGGACCAGTTGATGCCATGTGGACAAAAGGGGCTTCCAATGTTCATGACCATCTGTGGCTCTGATCCAGAAGGGCAGGAGAGATATCAGCATGGGTTTAACTGACTCTGTGTGTGTGTGTGTGTGTGTGTGTGTGTGTGTGTGTGTAAGCACTGACATGCGGATTCTTTACAAGGCTAGAAGCTGTCTTTATCTTTTCTGATCCCTTCCTCTCTCATCACAGCAGGCACTGATTCTCCCCCCCCCCACCCCGTCTCCATGGATACAAGGTAGGGGATGGCTCACCAGCTGCTACTCCCCTGGGGTAAGTCAGACAGCAATGGGACAGAGGTGAAGACATCACAGCACATTCCTGCCCCCATCCCTGACCTAGGTTCTCTCCTGAGGGTGTCCCTCCCCTTGCTCTAGGGAAAAACTTGGGGTGTGATGACTCAGGAGGGTCCTGAGGACAGGCAGGAAGCCAGAGCAAACATCCATCAGCTCCCACCTCCAGCACACCACAGCTCAACTGCCAGCCCAGCATCCTGCTGTGGTGATAATCCTTGCATCTTAGCAGACAGCCCATGCTCCTACTTCTTGGCTACAGAGGTTGGACCAGTTCTCTGTTGGAAGAGCTTTCCCTGGGGCCAAACTCTTCCAAGTCTGCTGGATACAGTGATAGGTGTGGGGGGTCAGAACTGTGAGGGAGGCCACAGCATCTAAACCATTTTCCAGCACAGACATGGACCAGTGACTTGGGAGTCCCCACGCTGGACACCTCCTGGGGATTCCATCTCTGCCTCAGCTCATAGAGAGCTCCACTAGGGTGGAGACCAGGAAATGCCTTGCAGCTCTGACTCCACCTTTATCTAATCACACGGCCCTCTCCACGACATCTGACCGGTGATAAAGGGACACAACTAACTCATCTTTAACTCCCACGAATCCTTGAAGAAGAAAGCGTGACTTCACTCGGTCATTGAGGAGTTAACTAAATTTTAAGGGCGCCCTCTGCTTGTTTCAAAAAGAGCAGGAACTTCATCCCAGTCCCTGGGTTTTCTGAAGCACTTGGGTCCTCCAAGGGACCAAGTGTCTGGTGACAAAGTCAATTTCACAACAGTATGTGACCCTACACCTTCACCATCAGTATAACAAAGGGTGGGACACAAAGGAAATGGTGGGAACCCTACCTTGTGAAACTTCTTGCCCAAGCACCCACACACTGTTCAATAAGTCTGCAGAAAATCTGACCTACCAGTGGCCATTTACTTCTAGGAAAGTGTCCCCAAACCAGGTCTACATTTTTTTTTTTTTTTTTGGACCTAATAGGACATTCAACTTGGTCTTGTGTTCTAGGACTGACCAAAACTTCAAGAATTGTTCAGCCTGCTGTTGGAAAGACTCAACCCATCAAGCTTTTCAGAGCTGGAAGCACCAACTTCAAGGTGCTCTGAATCAGCTCGACCACAACACAGGCTCTTCTAAATCAGAGCTGCCTGGAGGAAATTACAGATGCACGGTGGCTGCGCCTCCAGAGGCCATTCAAGCCTAGGTCTAGAACATAGGTGTGTCTCCGGCGGCTGGGAAGAAGATGGAGCCGCATGGGTAGGCTTGCTGGGCGAGTCCAGTGCCAGTGGGGGCTCCCCACAGCTTTGGCGCCCTGTGCCTTCAGAAGGTGAAGGCATACACCACCCCGACCACCACGATGTTCCCCAGTGTTGCTATGACAGCAATCCATAGCAGAACAGCATCGTTGGAGGAGCGAGGAGACTCCTCTGGCTGGCCGTGGCCATTGGAGGTTGCGTGGATGTTGGCAGGGGAGCTGAACAGGGAGTATTCGGTACTGAAGTCCTCGTTGGGTGAGTCCATGAACGCTCCTCCCATCATGGGCAACTGCAAGGAGAAGAGACAAAATGAGCCAGGCTGCCCAGCAGAGACCACACTCTCCTAGAGGGGGACCAGCCCAATGGGCCTGCAAGGAAGTGCAATCCACGGGGCACTAATGCACATTTTGTAACACATAAAAACAAATGTTTCAAGCTGGCTATGCACATGCCTGCAATCTTGATACTTAGGAGGCAGGAAGACTAGTTTGGGCTACAGAGTGAATTCTAAGCCAGCCCAAACCCAAACCAAATGCGTCAAGCTTTATGGCGGACACTCCTGAGCCCATTTCACGCATAAGGCTTGATGGCTCTTACCCTAGGAGCTCCCACACCCCACCACCCTGGTACCAGGCCCTTCCAAACCCACATTGGCTGCAAAAGACCTTTCTTCCTATTCTAATTTTGAAAGAGAATTCACGTTAGCTCACAGCTTCAGTGCCAGCCTTTAGGGAGCCAAAAGGAAAAGGATCATGAGCAACACAGCTGTCTCAAAATACCAAGAATAAATAAGATAAATAAAATCAGCAATGTCAGGGAAAGCTGGAAATCACCCCCTATTTATCTAGTTAACATTCTGTTCAGTTTTATTTTCCTTTTTCTGTATGTGTGACAGAGAAGAGGGGGTAGATGTTTAAATATGCCAGTTTCTAGTTCTGAGTTTAAAAAATCCATCAACCCCAATTTTAGAAGATACCCCCCACCCCCAATCACAGCCTTTGGGCTGGGGCTATCCGATGTGCTGCATGTGTGCTGGGGGTTTCCAGAAAGTTCTGGTAGATGCTTGAGGGAGGTTTGTAAGCATCCAGAGGGATCTATTGAATTAAAAAATGGGCTCAACCCTCAGAGTGTCTCTCAGTGTAAGCACAGGACAGCTCTGGAGTTATAAGAGAGGTCTTGGTGTTCCGAGTGTGTGAAGAGGATGCTGTGGATCCAAGCAGCGTGTGAAGATGCTGGAGTTTGACTACCTTCCCTCCCAAGTCTTCCCATCCTTCAGCACAGACAAGGAAAGCTGCCACTTAGCATCAGTGTGCTGCAACTTGCACACCAGATTCCAGAACCAGAATTAACCTTCTGCATCTTGATTCAGAGCTAGAACAATGAGGATGTGTTCAAACAGACCTGTTTCTTCACAGACACAATGCCGTTGGAAAGCCTTTGAGCTTCATCCTGGGCCATGAGCTGCAAGATGGTCCTACAGCCCTTAGCAGACCCTCACTCTCCTGGCAACATGACCAAACTACCTTCTGTATGTCCCAAACTAGCATCGCTGCCAGCTGACAATCTCAATATGGTTTTATTGTGGCTAATAGAACATGATTCACCCAAGCAAAGTTGTACCCTAAAGCTTTCAGAGTCAGATTATGTGGTTTGGAATACCTACCAGATTTTATGTGCTCTTGAAAATCACAAAGGAATGAGTGACAGATGCATTATCTTTCCCAAATACAGCAAGCATTGGCTTTCAGGCAAGTCCCCACAGTCATGATGACTGACAACCAGCTAGGCATATCCCTGCTGTTCCAGGCTCTGAAGTAAAAGCTCATTTCACTCCCCACTGGGGCGCCTGCAAGAGCCTGCCAGCTTCAATTTGAAGACCCCCTCACACTGCCGCATCTGGATTCAGGGGCAGGGAGCATGGCTTTCATTGTGACCTCCAGATCTAATGGTGCTTGTGGTGTCTGTCAAATGAATTTCCAGGTTGCTGCTGAGTTGGGAAAACTCATCTTGATAGATTACTTGGTTGGAATAGAGACATGGAAAGTCCTTTCAAATGACATCTGTGACTCCAATTGTCTAGAGTCATTCAAAGTAACAGACTTTGGTAAGATAAGCTACCGGAGACAATGGTCACACTGTCAAGAAGTTGACTCATCTACAGACCCATGGGGTGATTGTCTCTTGTCGGTCTCACTTCTGGAAGGAAGGTTGCAACATAGTTGGTCTTCAGTTTGAGAAATATAGTGGCGTCTTTTGCTTAATGAAAAAAAAAAAGCATTTACAGATCTTGTAAAACAAGGGAAGGAAGAAAGAACGGCAGGTGAGGTGTGTGTGTGTGTGTGTGTGTGTGTGTGTGTGTGTGTGTGTGTGTGTGTGCGTGTATGTGTGTGTGATACCTGGTTCCCCTCTGTAGAGAAAAGAAAACTAAACTGTCCAGAACTTTGAGGGAAAGGTATGATACAGTTTTCAGGGTTCAGAACAGCAACTGGAGAAGATGGACCCTGTAGTGGATGATTGCTTAGTGGGAGTGAAGACCACATCTTTGGATGTTTCAAAGATGTAACATTGTTACTATTTGTGGATCAACCCCCATAACTCCAAAGTCCCTATTATTAAGTGCCAAAGTAGGGTGTGTTGTTGTTTTGCTGAAGCTGCTGCAGGGGATGAAACATGAACCACAAAATTCGACAAAACCCACATGGAGTTTATTGGGAAAGGGAGCAAAGAAGGGAGGGGCAGGTGTTAGCCAAATGGAAGCAGAGATAGAAGGAGGGAGGAGGAAAGAGGGGGGGTAGGGAGGGAGGGAGGGAGGGAGGGAGAGAGAGAGAGGAGTGGGAAAGAGGAGAGAGCAGAGAGAGATGAGCAGGCAGAAAGGACTGTTAGGTGCACAGGCTCTTTCCCTTAAAGGGGTCTGTTGCATCTCCATGGAACCCTGGGCTGTCCAGGGTACTGCCTGAGTGCATTCTGCCAGGTGACAGGGGCAGGCCAGCATAATGCCTGAATCCTTACAGGGTGACTGAGTACAGATTCTTGCCCGGCATTACCCTTGATGCCACATGAACTAGGATCAAAGGCAAAAAGGATCAGGTTGACCCTTGCCAGCAGGGAAGAGGCAATCTGTGTAAACAACCATCTAAGAAGGGGTGTGCACAGGTGAGGATATCCGGCTGTGAGTTCTCTGGCACTGCTTTTAGCATGTCAGAACCTCAGTTGCATTGCACGGTCACATGGGGGGGGGCGAGAAAGGCTCACCGGCCTGGGGGCGATTGTAGTTCACGTAGTAGGCTTTCCTTCAGCAGAGAAGAGCTTCCCAGTGGGAAATACCTCCAGATTCCAGGAGAGAAGCCTACAGAATGCCAGGAAGACCTCTGTGCCCCATCTGCAGCATGCCACAAATCTAATGTTCAGGACACACACCTGGATACTCCCTGGATTCAGCGAAGGCATGGCTCTTGGGACACAGGACCTGTGAGGTCTTATCCAAGAATTTCCAGATGTTCACTTTTGTAAAGTGTCATGGAGTTTTTTTGTTTTTTTTTTTTTTCCAGGACACTCTAGTGGAAGCAAAGAGCAGCATCTGATGGTATTCTAACCATCTACTTTAGGGTCTAAAAGAGCAGCATCTGACGGTACTCTAACCATCTACTTTAGGATCTAAAAGAGCAGCATCTGATGGTACTCTAACCATCTACTTTAGGGTCTAAAAGAGCAGCATCTGACGGTACTCTAACCATCTACTTTAGGATCTAAACAGTCTTGTCACAGAGCCTGCTTGCTGTTGCCTGGGCAACATCATTCCTTCAAACACCTACAACCAGGAGTGCGGATTTCCCATGTGACTTTGGAGGAGGAGAAATTGGTGACTGAGGTGGTCTGACTGAGAATGGCCCCCCTAGGCTCATACATTTGAATGCCTGCTCCTCTGTTGGTGGAGTTGTTTGGGGAGGGTCAGGAGATGTGGCCGTATTGGACGAGGTATGTCACTGGAGATGGACTTGAAGGTTCCTAAAGACACATGCCATTCCCAGCTATCTCTCTCTCTGTCTCCTACTTTCAGATAAAGATGTGAGCTCTCAGCTTCCGCTCCAGCACCGTACTGGCCTGCGTGCTGCCATGCCCCCCGCCACAAGGGCCGTGGTCTCTGACTCCCTGAAATGGTCAGCCCCAAATCAAAGGGCTTCTTTTATAAGTTGCCTTGGTCATGGTGTTTTGTCACAGCAATAGAGAAGCAACTAAGATAATGGCCCTCAGTTATCTCTCTATGTCTGCCTCAGATAAGGTTAGAAATAGGGACAGAATAAAAGACAGAGGTGTGAAGCTAGTGAAGGAAAGAATAGGGACACACCCGCCTCTCCAGACAGGAAAAACAAGCCCTATCAACGTGGAAGAGAAGGGAAGTGTTAGAAATGGACTCCAATGTGAGTGGCACCCAGCTAGCTGAGATTCTGTTGAAATCAGACCTTGCACAAAAGCTGAGCTGTTCAAACTTATGTAATTTCAGCTTGATCAGACTTGATAGTGCATTTTCATGGCCTTGAAGCTCTTATTGTACAGCTCCTTTGCAAAAATCCTACTTTATTGTATAACTTTCTTTTTTAATTTAAATTTGATGTGCATGAGTATTCTGTTCACATGTATGTCTATGTATGACGTGCATGTGCCAGCAGAGGTCACAGGAGAGTTGGATCCCCTATAACTGGGATCACATATGGGTGAGCTGTCATGTGGGTGCAGGAACCGAACCCAGGCCTCTGGAAGAGCAAGTGTTCCTAACCACTGAGCCATCTCTCCAGCACCAACTCTCTCTCTCTCTCTCTCGTTTTTTAAAAGCATGGTGCCCAAACCCAGCCCTCTATTTTTAATTTTACTTTTATTATTTATTTATTTGTCTTAATACATTTACTTAGTGTGTGGGATAGGTGGGTGTATGCATGCTGTGCCATGTGCAGGTCAGAGAACAACTACAACATACACACACAGACACACACACACACACACACACACACACACACACACACACAGGCTCACTAAACTGCCTAGCAGGCCTTTGCATTCAGGACCTTGCTGCTTTGGCCTTCTGAGTAGCTGGGATTACAGGGGTACATCACAGTAACTGCTTTGTAAACATAAGCCATGGTATCACACCCTAGACTTAGGAACTATCCCTCCCTCTCTCCTCCCTCCCTCCCTCCCTCCTTCCCTTCCTTTCTTCTCCCCTTCCTTCCCTTCTATGATGCTAAGCATAGTTTTGCACACTCTTATGTGGGCTTCTGTACATTTGTGCAATAG